AGGCAGACTTGGAACTATAAACACAGCTCCAAGTTCCATGACCAAACTCTATGCCATTGGGTTGTTTGGATAATTATTTATTTTAATTTTTTTCTTTTGAAATATTTCAAATATAACACACAGAAAACAATGTCATGAACCCCTATGTGACCATCACCCAGCTTCAACAATGGTCAACCCATGACCAACCCCATTTCATCCGTCCCAGCCCCTTCTGTTACTGCTACAGCTTGGGTATGGTTTATCCCTCCTAACTCACGGTGGAGTTGAATACCTGCTGTGAGGTATGAAGAGAGTGGAAACAATCTGATGATGGTGTTTAGAGGTGGCGCCTTTGGCAGTGACTGGGATTGAATGAGGTCATCAGGCTGGGCCCCACAATTGAATCTGGCAGCTTTATGAGAAGGAGACCAGAGGACACATACACACCTGTGCTCCAGGTGATGCCCCGTGCCACCTGAGGACCCTGCCAGTAAGAAGGCCATCGTCACAGGCAGCCCTTGACCTTGGACCAGAATGGAGAGCCAAAATAAACTAATTTTTTTTAATGACTTAGTTTGCCGAAACCCAACTGAGACATTATTTTTAAAGCAAATCCCAGGCTCCACATTATTTCATCCATAAGGTTCAATACTGAAAAAGAGAAAAGTTGGGGCCAAGGATTTAGCTCAGTGGTGCTGCGCCTGCCTGGCAAGTGTAAGGTCCTGAGTTCGAATCCCATTACAGAAAGAAAAAGAGAAAAGTAGCCCCTGACAGCCAGGAACTGACCTGTCCCAGCGAGGCCTAGTGTTCTGCTATTGAAGGTGAATAATTTCACAGGCCACTGATGCCACAGCAGGCCACTCTGTGACCATGAGGGACGGACACAAAGACATGAACCCTCCACATTCAGGTCCACACACAGGAAAAGTCATAACGTCCGACCACAGAACTGGCCAAGCACCCTCCAAAATGGCTAATAGGAGTGACCGCCACTGCTTTCCAATCACAGCATGAAGATTATTGTACAAAATGGAGTCATTCCTGTCATACCCCACTAACACAGAGTCAAGGGGCCATGAGGGAAAAATAGGAATTACTCCAGGAACTATCTCCTAAGAAGCAACCTGCTGTAAGAAGCACACTAAGACTGATTTTTCTTAGCAACTGCTTGGAAACAACCAGCTCTAACTGGTAGTAACTGTAGCCATTCCATACAGCTCCTCAGCTCTCCTGTACAGCCACCAGTGCCAACGAGTTTCTTTCAAGACACCTTAGAATGTGGTGCCACACACCTGTAAGCCCAGCACTCTAGTAGGCTGAGGCAGGAGAAACACAAATTGGAGCCCAGCCAAGGCAATTTGGTGACTTAGCCAGACGCTGTCTCAAAATAATAAAAATAGTTGGGAATGGAGCTCAGTGAGTGGGCCCTGAGTTTGAGCCCCAGTAGCAGGAAAGAAAACATAAAAACAAAAACCCTCATGGAACATTTCTCTCTCCCCAGTAAAACTCCAACTTTTCCTTTGTCCCTCTGACATGCCAGAGTCTACCCCAGCCCGTGCATGTGCTTCCCACATTGCAGACTTCTTTGTTTACTCTCAAATAAAAATTTCTTCTTTGGAGGTTATGTTTTTGTTTGACCCATAACTGCTTAACCATCCTCTGTTCTCCTTGCCTTTGAGATGAGAATCACTAAATCACCACCTATAGAATTTTTCCCACTTCTAAAAAATACTCAACCCGGAGCAAGGTCCACTTCTTTGACTCTTCAAATCACCTAACACAAGTGCAAATCCCACACCAAGTTTTTTTTTTTTTCTTTTTCTGGTACCGAGGATCAAACTCGGGTCCTTGCGCTTGCGCAGCAGGCAGAGAAACCACTGAGCTAAATACCCGGCCCATGCCACACTAAGTTCTTGCAACACTGCTGTGCTGTCCTGCGGTCCCACAGCTCCCCATGCCATGCATTTTCCCTCTTCACAGTGAGTCACCAGAAACCCAACCTGGTTCAACTGCTTGTGTGTCACCGGAGACCTCTGTGTCGCTGCAAAACAGTGACAGTTTGTATCTCTCTCTCTCTCTCTCTCTCTGTCTCTCTCTCTCTCTATATATACACACACACACATATATATATGATTCTTTCACAACTAAAAATTGACTATATGTATATGTGTGTGTGTGTATATATATATATATATTGGTACTGGGGATCAAACTTGGGACCTTGCACTTGTGAGACAGTGATGGAAGCACTGAGCTAAATCCCTGGCCCAAAATTGACCATATATATATAT